ATTTTCTAATACCCCACCTCCTATAGTCTATAAGCTCGTTTGAGAAGGTCCTCTTCAACCTATTGTTCCTGTAAGTTTTTCTTGTAATTGTCCTATTTATAGTTACATCCAGGGCCGGACTGGGAAAAAAATTCAGCCCGGGCATTTTTTTATCACAGCGGCCCACTAAGAAGGGGGCGGGGCAGAGAGGGTGTGTTTTGTCATCACTCATGACAAACACGCTCCCTCTCAAAGTGAGCATGTTGGTTCAATGCTCTTCCAGGGCAGACCATGCGCAGAGCTCTGCTGAAGAGCTCTAGCATGAGAAAAAAGCCCTGTATTTGTTCTGCACAGTGCAAGCAAATTTAATAACATGCTTGCACTGTGTTTCCTTGCAACTTGTCTCTGGTGTCTCTATAAATGGATACCAGGAGACAAAAGGGCCAGGAAAGAGTATTGTGCATGTGTTTGGAGCCTGTTTGTGGTATTACGTTTGTGCAGAGTGAGCTGGTCATGGTGTGGTATTGTGTAATAAGGTCTGTTTTAGTGTGTGTGAGTGCTGAGTGTGATAGTGCTGTGTATGATGTGTGATGTGTGTGAGAGTGCTGTGTGTGAGTGTTGTGTGTTATGTGTGTGAGTGCTGATTGTGATAGTGCTGTGTATGAGTGTTGAGTGTGATAGTGCTGTGTATGATGTGTGTGAGTGCTGAGTGTGATGTGTGTGAGAGTGATGTGCCTGAGTGCTGAGTGCTGTGTGTGAGAGTGTTGTGTGATGTGTGTGAGAGTGCTGAGTGTGAAAGTGCTGTGTGTGAAAGTGCTATGATGTGTGTGAGAGTGCTGCGATGTGTGAGATTGCTGTGTATGATGTGTGTGAGAGTGCTGTGTGTGAGAGTGCTATGATGTGTGTGAGAGTGCTGCGATGTGTGAGATTGCTGTGTATGATGTGTGTGAGAGTGCTGTGTGTGAGAGTGCTATGATGTGTGTGAGAGTGATGTGTGTGAGAGTGCTATGATGTGTGTGAGAGTGCTGCGTGTGATGTGTGTGAGAGTGCTATGATGTGTGAGAGTGCTGCGCTGTGTGTGAGAGTGCTGTGTGTGAGAGTGTTGTGTGTTGTGAGTGCTGGGTGTGATGTGTGTGAGAGTGCTGCGTGTGATGTGTGTGAGAGTGCTGAGTGTGAAAGTGCTGTGTGTGAGAGTGCTATGATGTGTGTGAGAGTGCTGTGTGTGAAAGTGCTATGATGTGTGTGAAAGTGCTGCGATGTGTGAGATTGCTGTGTATGATGTGTGTGAGAGTGCTGCGTGTGATGTGTGTGAGAGTGCTGAGTGTGAGAGTGCTGTGTGTGAGAGTGCTGTGTGTGAGCGTGCTGAGTGTGAGAGTGCTGGGTGTGAGAGTGCTGGGTGTGATGTGTGTGAGAGTGTTGTGTGAGTGCTGAGAATGCTGAGTGTGATAGTGCTGTGTATAAATGTTGTGTGCTGGGGGGTAAATAAACAAATAAAAAATGAAGTGGGGGTAAATATATAAAAAAAAAAAACTAAGGGGGGAAATAAAAAAAATAAAAAAAAAAACTAAGCAAAAAAAAAACTAAACCCCCCCCCCTCCCTTCTTACCTTTAACCTGGGAGGGGGGGACATGCACGTGGTAGCTGGGAGGGGGGGCACCGGCACTCGCACACCATCCCTGGTGGTCCAGTGGTGAGTGAACTCTCTCGCGAGATCGGGGCGTTGCCATGGCAACGCTCCGGATCTCGCGAGAGAAACCCGGCGGAGCTGCAAGACAGAGCTCCGCCGGGTCCTCTCCCTCCCTCCCCAGCCGCAGGTCTATTTAAATGGGCCGGTGAGGGAGATCTTTGATCTCCCCATCGGCCCTCCATGGAAGACAGCGGGGCCGGCGCTCGGATAGTGCCGGCCCTGCATAGACCGGCAGGGGAGATCCTGGGACCTCCCCTGCCGGCCTCGGCCCCCCGGCCACCGCGGCCCACCGGGCATTTGCCCGGTGTGCCCGATGGCCAGTCCGGGCCTGGTTACATCCCCCCTCTCATAATATTGTAAAGCGCTACGGAATCTTTTGGCGCTATATAAATGGCAATAATAATAATCATAGGTGGGTGGGGACAAACAGCTTGCACGGCAAAGGTAAGTAGGGGGGGTAGGGTTTATATAGGATCAAAGCTCCTCCCACAAATTCAGGCCAAATAACCTTCCAACATATATAAACATTTATAAAAAACACATAAAAACGCTAACTTTGGCCAGCGTTTGTGACTCTGTAACTTTCTAAACCACCATAAAACCTGTACATGGGGGGTATTGTTATACTCAGGAGACTCCACTGAACACAAATATGAGTGTTTAAAACAGTAAAACTTATCATGACAATGAAATCTTCAGTTAAGGTGCAGTTTTTTGTGTAAAAGAAAAGCAAAAAACAAATAAAAACAATCATTTTGGCCAGCGTTTGTGACTAAGTGGCTGCTACAAAAGACTGGACATACCCCATTTTGAATACCATGGGTTGTCTACTTTTACAAATGATATGCCATGATGGGGTTAATTTTCATTCCTGGGTTGCTATACGGTCTCAAAGGCAACATAGGCCCAGCAAACCAATCTGGCAAATTTCAATGTACAAATATGGGGAAAGCCCTACATTTGGCCCCTGTAAGTTTGCAAAAACCCATAATACCTATACATTGGGGCCACTGTTGTACTCGGGAGATGTTACTGAACACAAATTCTTTGTCAGTAACACGTATCAAGAACTGAGAATCCATGCCTAAAGTACAATGTGTGTGAAAAATAACACAAAAAAATGACTACCCAAAAGGTTGACAAAGACTGGTGGTAGAATTAGTGCATGGAAAGTGTTAAAATACCACCCTTTCAAATACCCTAGGGTGTCTACTTTTTAAAGATATATGGTTCGATGGGGGTAAATTACACTGGCCGGCTTTTAAAAATAGGACATGGGTGCATGATGACAAGCTGTGAAAATTCCAAGTTGGAAAACTGGAATGGGCATTCTCCAATTAAGGTCTTTTAGCCCCAAAGAACCCAACACACCTATACATTGGGGGTATCACTGTTTTAGGAGATGTTGCTGAACACGTATTGGAGTGTTATTTGGCAGTATCCCTTAAAGTTCTCCATACATGTATTTTTAAATTGTTATGTGTGTCAAAAAAAATCACCAATTATAATTTTTTTTTAAATTTGGCATAGATTGTTGGTAAATTGGTAGCATGAAAATAGCACAAAGAGAGTCAAAATATCCTAAGTTTAATAACTTAGGTTGTCTTCTTTAAAAAAATATATACATGTGAAGCGTTATTCAAGGATTCCTGACAGATATCAGTGTTACAATGTAACTTGTGTTAATTTTGAAAAAAGGTGTTTTGGAAATAGCAAAGTGCTACTTGTACTTATAGCCCTATAACTTTCCAATAAAAGCTAAGAACATGTTAACATTCGGTATTTTTAAACTTAGGACAAAATTTAGAAACTATTTAGCATGGGTGTTTTTTGGCGGTTGTTGATGCGTAACAGATTTTGGGGGTCAAAGTTAGAAAATGTGTGGTTTTTTTTTTACATTTTTTTCATCATATTTTATAATTTTTTTACAGTAAATCATATGATATGATGAAAATAATGGTATCTTTAGAAAGACCATTTAATGGTGAGAAAAACGGTATATAATGTGTGGGTACAGTAAATGAGTAAGAGGAAAATTACAGCTAAACACAAACACAGCAGAAATGTAAAAACAGCCCTGGTCCTTAACGGTAAGAAAATTGAAAACGGTCTGGTCACTAAGAGGTTAAACCTTACAAGCACACATGCATGTGACATCATATTCGTAAACATAGTCAGGACTAGATCTCTAATTCAAAGTAAGTTGAAGATTAAAATATATATACACAACAGCTACTTCCAGTGTGTTGTGTGCCATGGAATAGGATGAAATAAATGTTTTTCTCAGTTTTCTTATTATCCATTTAACTTGTTAACAAGATGGAAACTGACTCAATCTTAAAGGGACACTTTAGTCACCAAAACAACTTTCACCCAGATAATATGGTTAAAAATCAACTGACTGCATATCAGTGCATGTAGGCTCCATATATTGAAATGAGGTGCATGAATATATATATGAAGAAGAAAAATAATAAGAGCATATTTAAGTCAACACTCCAAGAACCATAGTCATGGCAATGTGTGGTAGTGGTTATGGTACTAGGAGTAGCCTGGTCCACCGGGCATCATTCCTTTGCCAGTACTACTTCCTATGGAGACCCAGAAGCTCTCTATCTGAGCTGAGACCGGCGGTGAGCCAAATTATTTGTATTTATCCAGTTGCAATAAAACATCAAGAAACTAGGGGGCCTCCTTTCTCTAAAAAAAATTAAAAATTTGTTCCTAATAAACTCATAGCCCTGAAAGGCAAATATATATGTTTTAAACAACTGTTTGTATTAGTATTTGCTTTTATTTGTTTGTTTGTTTTTTTACATTGCATTTTTAGAAACAATAAAGTTTGTAATTTAATATGTAGTAAATTCATCGGACTGACACATTTGTCCCTCAACTTGATCCAATGTGTTTAGACTCGTAAAAGAGAAGAAAATATTAACTATGCATATTTTCTTATTTTTTTAGGTTTCAACAAGACAATCTAATTGCTATCCTGTTATTCTCTCCTCTATGTAGAACAACAAGGCAGCTCAGCTCTAGAATGGATTGCTTCAATAAAAGCGGAGTTCAGGATTCTTCTCTTCAGCGCCTTAACCTAGCAGTCTCCATCCCACTCCTTGTTTTGGGTCTTTTCTGCAATGGTATTGCTTTGTGGGTTTTTTGCTGCAAACTGAAGAAATTGACTGAAACTACAGTGTTCATGGTGAATTTAGTTATATCAGATATCATGATTTTGTTGACCTTTCCTTTTAGAATATATGCTTTTTCAAACACGTGGAATCTTGGCAGTGAGACATGCAAAACACTCCTACTCTTGTATTTTATAAACACTTATATGAGTATTTTCTCCATCACTGCAATAGCTGTGGATCGTTACATTGCAATCAAGCACCCCCTGAAATTCCGAACCTGGAGGTCCCCAGCGAAAGCTGCTTACACATGCTGTGCCCTATGGTTTCTTTTCATTGCTATGGGTGTTTTCCGTATTTTGCAGAGCCGAGATTTTACACTCACCACTTGCTTCCAAAAAGTCACCACTGAACCCTTTAACATGGCTCTTGTCTTTGTCCTGGTTGGTTTTACTGTTCCGTTGATCATTATCAGCTATTGCTCCGGAGAAGTTCTAATGCTTCTCCGCAAGAAAAACGCGTCCGATACTTGTGAGAAGAAAGCAGTGAGGAAGGCCTTCAATATAATTATGGCCAACTTGGTAGTGTTTGTTGTCTGCTTCTTACCCGTCCATGTGGGTTACACTGTGCGCTTTATAACCGAATCTCTCAATGCCACTTGTCACACATGGGAGAAAGTTAATTTTTACACACATGTGGCAACTTTGGTGGCAAATTCCAACTGTGTCCTAGACAGTGTGTGTTATTTTTTTGCAGCACATGAATTCTGGAAAGCTACAATCCTTTAATAAGCATGTACATTACTATCTGCTTGCCGACAATTAACTAATAAAAGTATTGTATAATTAGATCTTGTAGCAAACCAATCTCAAATAAATAAATAAAATAGATATTCACCATAATTTAGCATTTTATAAATTCACTGATTCTTCATTCAATTTCCATGACTCAAATTTGCCCTCAACCATCTTATCACAAGGCTGGATAAGTAGATGGACTGAGGAATTTTTTGTCCTGTATGACTCTCCACTTGCACAGTTATAAAAGTGTAGGGATACGACCGTGTCTCTAAACTGTGCTGTCTGAGTATGTCCTAAATCTCTTCAGCATCAGAGGCAGCACTGTCTGTATACTGATCTGTACTACTCTGCCTGGCAGGTCTGCACTGTAAGTCTCGTCAGATCCCAAGCAAAACCCACCGTGCCAACTGGCCATGAAGAGAAGTGATTTTGCCTTCCAGCTGCCTGTGGGGCCACAGAGATTCATGGCTAAGAAGCACCACATTCAGGACTAGAGCAACCGCTAGTCACACACCAGCTGACACCTCCACAGGGTCCCCTAGCAGCACCACTGACTGATAAATTCCCCCTCTCATAATATTGTAAAGCGTTATATAAATGGCAATAATAATAATAATATAAGTATTGCTGTATTTTGTATACATTTTACAAACTGATTTAATAACTTATCTTCCTCATTTCCAAATATATTCCAAATTATTATTATTTTTTCAATAAAAATCATAATTGATCTCTAGGTAATTGTAGACACACAGAATTTTCAGAGTTCTCATTCCCCGTTCTGAATTTTTTTTTTACCATCACATGATCTCCACATCCTGGTTCTTAAATTTGTTTGTAATATAAATTATTAAAGATGGCCACTATATTGAAAAACTGACACTTCCAAGTGGCAATTGCAGATAAAATTATTGTAATTTAGTTAGATAATAGTAATAATATACATTTATTGGCAGTATTGTTATAATCTAATTTTAGGTTCAAGATGATCTTAGAAATGATTATATAGTACATATGATGTATGGCTCCAGAAAATATAAACATACTTTCATTTATTATCACTATCATTTTTATTACTTAAATACTGTCACGTATTACTGTAATGTGTATGATTATTGTTGTTGTTGTTGGGGTTTTTTTTTTTTGCGAGAAGGGATGTGGTGTAGTCTGAGCTGCTTTGTTGTTGCCACAGTAATGGCTGCCTTTAGAATGGCTTGTCACATGTTCACTTTAAATGTCATGCATTAAAGCTCCTAGCTTTTACAGTTTCGTAACAAAATCCTCAGTTTCAGGGCCACATACGCTTGTGATTGTCACATTGTCATGCTGTAAATTCCCAATAAAACATGCAACAAATCCAGCCTTATAACTAGCATTTATTTTTCAAACGGCCCTATTAAAAGGACACTCTAGGCACCACAACCACTGCAGCTTAATGTAAGGGTTCTGGAGCAGAGAGCTTGTGCCAGCAAACTCAGCATTGTAAACACTATTTTTTCTGAGAAAAGGCACAATGGGTAATCTCCTGTGGCCCTATGTTCCATGAATAATTAAACACTCCAAAACCCAGAACTCACTAACACCACCTCCTCTCCATTAGCACCCCAATGAATAAATGACACAAGACAACAGGCTTGAGGGAAAAGATCAATGCAGCCACATTTATTTACATCATCATAGCATCAGGGCATCAAAACTGTTGAACGGAATGGCAATAGTAGAAATATATAAAAAAACTTTATTATCTGGGGTGGTGGCGCTGAGGGACTAACTACATTCAGCTCACAAGAGGATGCAAACTCAGCATCCGCCCAAACAGAGGCAAAAGGACTGCATGGGATATCCCCAGACCAGCCACTGCCAGCAACGTGAAAAAGCTCAGTTTCCTCACCACCATCACTCCCGTCCACCATCGCTACCGAGCCCTAAGCTGCACCCTTCCGCAGCAGAGGGAAGGCAAGGACACCCCCGCCCAGTAGAGCAAAGGAACCGCTAAGCCAAAACAGCTGACAAGTTCAAAGTGTAGGAGTAAACTAACAAACTGGCAAGTCCAAGTGCAAGACTGACTAAACAAGCCTGTCCCCAACTTATGAAGAAAAACAGAAGGCGGGAGCAAAAATAGCCTCCAGTTTCTCCACCTGTAAGGAAAACAACAACACATCAGAAAGGGGAAGGGACATCTTCAGAAGAATGCAGGAACCAAAGAGGGAGAAAAGGAAGTGAAGAGGCCTCATAAAGGTAAAAGGAGACTCCTACCACAACAAAAAGCAATGTTGCAGTTCACTCCTGGCCATGGAGAAGCCGCCTCAATTTTGCTCTATGCCCAATGGGTCTTAGCACTCCCAGTGTTTACACCAGTGGTGTATCCTGGTTTTGTGCTGCCCTAGGCAGGACAAAACTCAGGCACCCCCCCCGCGCCACCCCCACCCGCGCAACCGCCACCCAACCTTCCCCCCTGCTCCGCCTTCTAAATACACACACACACACATTCACTGACAGATACGCATTCACTAGCTAACAGAAACACACAGTCACTAACAGACACACACTCACTAACAGACACACACACTCACAGGCAAACACACACACTCACAGGCAAACACACACACTAACAGACATCCACACTAACAGACATCCACACACTAACACTAACATTAACATACACACTAACACTAACAGACACACACACTAACACTAACATACACACACTAACATACACACTAACAGACACAAACACTAACATACACACTAACATACACACACTAACACACTAACAGACATCCACACACACACACACACACTAACAGACACAAACACTAACATACACACACTAACAGACATCCACACACTAACATACATACACACACACACTAACATACATACACACACACACTAGTGTTTTTTTGTTTGTTTTTTTATTTAACCCCCCCCAGCCTCCTTACCTTTGGTAATGCTGGGGGGGGGTCTTCCTCTCCCTGGGGTCCAGTGGCTGCAGCGCTGGGCGGGCGGCCGGCGAGGGAGCTCTTCCCCTGAGCGCTCTGCTCTGCTCAGCTCCCTCGCGCGCCGCCAGCAGAGTGAGGCTGGGAGCCGGAATATGACGTCATCTTCCGGCTCCCGGCCTCACTCTGCTGGCGGCGCGCGAGGGAGCTGAGCAGAGCGCTCAGGGGAAGAGCTCCCTCGGCGGCCGCCCGCCCGCCCAGCGCTGCAGCCACTGCCGCCCAGCGCCCAGAATGTCTGTTAGCCGCGAGGCTAACAAGACATTTGCCTTGGGCATTTGGGGGGCGGCGTTTTTTGCCGCCCCCTGAAAAATGCAGCCCAAGGCAAATGCCTTGTTTGCCTCGCGGCTAATACGCCCCTGGTTTACACTGTTGCCTTAAGCGGCCTCTAGTGCCTGTCATCGAATCAGCCACTAGAGGGACTCCTGATTGACAGATTGCAAGACTGACTTTCTGTATCTCTACACTCTTTATGAAGACACAAACACTCTACATCGAGATGGATTGAGTCACTGCCTATCTATGAGTAGATGTTACATGTGCACTAGCCTCCCAATTTGTTTCAGCAGGGGTGACCGCGAACCAGAACACAGAGGGAAATAATGTAAGGAAATCTCTTTTATTTGGTTATGCAAGGGGCCCAATTATCTAAACAGTAATAATAACACTCTACCACAGGTACGTAGATCCTCATATGTTGTAGAAAACATAGATCCTCATATGTTGTAGAACTACAACTCTAATGGTGCATTTAATGCCTTTAAAATGCCTTAAGAATGATAAAGCATCATGAAAGTTGTAGTTTTAAAACATCTGGGGATCTACGGTAGGAATCTTTTTTCTAACTCAGACAACACAAATACACTACTTATTATTAATGGGATCATATAGTGCCAGGAAAACAAACCCGTTTTCCTGGCACTATAGGGTTAATAGGTGCCCCCCTCCCTCACGTCCCCCCTCCCATGGGGCTGAAGAGGTAAAAACCCCTTCAGCCACTTACCTGACTCCGGCGCCAATGTTCCTCGGTGCTGGATCAGGCTCCACCCACACTCCTCCCTCGCTGAAGTCAGCTGCGCAATGGCCGCGCGCGCATTAGATCTCCATATAGGAAAGATCAATGATTTCCTGTGGGGAAAAGTTGACCCTGGATGTCCGTGAGAACCAAAAGTCTGTTTAAATTCCAGAAGCCCTCTAGTGGCTGTCTGTTAGACAGACACAGAGGGCAGTCTTAGAGTTGCAATGTAAATATTGCAGTTCTCTGGAACAGGGTCAAGGCACACAGACCACTTCAGTTAGCCGAAGTTGTCTGGGTGCCTACAGTGTCCCTTTAATCAATTCTAACAATCTGTATTCGTTTACTAGCTTTTCAAATCAAGACACTGTTTTAAGTTGTGAGTGTTTCTAAACTGTTTTGACTGAGTTCCAAATTATGTTGATGGGTTGGTTTGATTAAATCCTCTTTATTTGTAATATTGCATTGCTAAAACACATTTAATAAATTATTTTTATTACGTTTATCCAAGTGTCAAAAGGAGAAACAGTTCCGATACAGTAGAAGGCTTATTGTGAATAGTTAACCAGGTCTGTTGACTTTCTCAATTGGGGCCTTCCGAGAACAGAATGGAAATATGGTTTTGAGCTCTATCCCAGTGATTGCCTTTAGAATGTCATGTCACATGTTCACTTTATATGTTATACATATTCTAGCTTCTACAGTTTTGCAACAAAATGCTCAACTCCAGGACCACAGAAGCTTGTGACTGTCACAATGGTCTGCTGTAAAATCTTAAGAAAACATGCAACACATCCAGGGCCGGACTGGGGGTACAAAGCAGCCCTGGCAAAAAAAATCTATGCCAGCCCCATAAGTCATTGTGCTGTGTATTGTGTGTAATATATATATATATATATATATATATATATATATACATATATATATGTGTGTGTGTGTGTGTATATGTATGTGTGTGTATATATATTTTATGTGTGTATATATATATATATATATATATATATATATGCTCATTAACATAAAAACACAAGCTCACTGATGCACACAAATAGGCTCAGACAATCTCACTGACAGACAATCTCACTGACACACACAGACAAGCGTAATGGTACACACACAAATTTAGTACAGACAAACTCTGACATGCACAGGCTTACTACAGACAAGATCACGGTCACACACAAACACACACACACACACACACACACACGCTCACTGACACCCACATGCTCACTACAAACAAGCATACTTACACACATGTTCATTACAGACAAGCTAACACTCACATGCTCACTACAAAAAAGCTCACACACACATGCTCACTACAGAAACGCTCACTGACACACACACATGCTCCATACAGATAAGCTCACTGACACACACATGCTTCCAACAGACAAGCCCACTAACACACACACATGCTTCCAACAGACAAGCCCACTGACACACACACATAAAAGTTCACTCACTTGCAGACAAACACACACACAAGCTCACTCACTAGCAGACACACACACACAAAAGCTCACTCACTAGCAGACAAACACACACACAAGCTCACTCACTAGCAGCCACACACACAAGCTAAGTCACTAGCAGGCACACACACACACACACACACACACAAACATTCACTCACTCCCAGCTGGTATACAGGGGTCTCTTCTAAACATTTAGGCAGTTACTCATACACAAGCAATCACTGTGTATTTCTCTTAAAAAAAAAAAAAAAGAACCTTTAACCACTAGAGTTGTGATAAAGAAACTCCCTGCTTTGCACAGAAGGGATTCTCCTGGAACCCTTTCTTTGGCAAGATAATTGGAATAACTACCTGGCTGCTTCCCTTTCACAATTTCAGAGCCTTATTGATCTTGGCCTATTCATTAACTTGTTGGTGCAGTAAAAATAAACAAAAATCTCTGAATATGTGGAGATTTTTTTCCCTAGGGGATCAAACTAAATCTGGTGGTCTTGCAGAGGGGAGGAGAGGAAAGGGTCTAGTTAGTGCTGTTGAAATAAACACAGACCACCTAAACTGTCTGCCTGATCTCAGGAAACCTCATCAGACCTGACCCAACTCCGTCATGTGTCAGTCTTTATTTTATTAATGAGTGGTCTAAGCACAATGGCACTGGGCTGCCCTGAAGCCCATTATTGTGGTGTTCCTCTTGTCCCAGGACTGGGTCTTTTAATTTTCATATGGTTATTGTATCTCATATTCAGAGAGCACATGTTAGCACGGAGTCCTGGATACTAGTTTAAAAGGATCTCACCTCTGAGCACAAAGTATATCTAAACAATAGCACACATTGTCAATACTAAGACACCTACTGGCACACAGTCATAGATCACTCACTAGCAAACAGACACAGAAACACACACTCACTCACTCACACTCTCACTAGCAGACACAC